CAAGAATGAGGAAGAGGGAAGAAGGAGAAAAGAAAGGAAAAAATGAGGAATGATAGCATTGATGATGTTGCTTAGGAGGAAGATGATCAGGAAGCTCCTGATAAGAAGGAGGAATATGATCTTAAAGATTGTGAGAATGAGGATGATGAAAGAGGAGGATAAATAAAGATGATAAATATGATATAAGATGTATTCACCCTATTTCGTTCAAGGTGATAAAGGACTGGTATTATAATTTTCCCACAATGATATGAGTGGAGCTGACGTTTCCATTGAATTTCCCCAATCCTTGCTTTCCCAAAAATTGTTCTCATCCAGCTACCAGTGAACTGCAGTCTCGACCTCACACAGATCTTATTAACACCCCCAGCGGGAGTCGAACTTTGACAGCGCAGAATGTGATCTTGACACGATAACCACTCGGTCACATTGCCACGAGTGGCCTTGGGTGAATTTCAAGGAAGACCAGGCCAGTCCTCGTATCATATTCTTTGGTGGGATTGTCGATGAAGAAAATGTATTTTTGCCATAATAATCAACTGCATTACTTATTTTTCGAATATAAGTAGTCTCGAAACTCTACTTAAATACGGATAAAGATGATGATGATTAGGAAGAGGAAGAAGAATAAAAATAAAAATAAAAATAATGATGATGGTGATGATGATGATGATGATGATGCGTGGAAGTTAATAACAATGATCTTGTGGAAAATGGTGGATAAGATGAGTATTGCGATTATTATGATGATGAAGATGAGGAGGATGAAGATGCAGAGGAATAATAAAATGATAATTATGATGACGAGAGAGGAATGTATAACGAGGAGTAGATTGTTGGTGGAGATGTGACTAATTAGATCGAAGCCGTGTGCGCAACATTTGCTGAATCATTCTTTCCCGCAAAACGCTGCATGTAAATGCAGCCAGCTTCATATGCTAATATTGGGCAAGTGTGTCCTTATCGCGTCTGGGTGTGAATATTAATTAGACTTGCAGCAGCTCAGACGGTCCTCCGGTCAGCCGTTTAATCGGACCGTTTTCCGACTTTTGCCCTCCAAGTGAGTGTGTTTCGAGCTGAGCCTGAGCCGCATCGGATGTGGTCGCGCCGACACGCCAGGACCAGTCTCTTGACTGTCGGTCTCAAGAGGGTGACGCCTGGCCGAGCCATTTGCTTTTCGGTCGTCAGGTCGTTGGTACAACCGGATTTTGTCAGGCTCGTCTACACATTCACTACATGTCAACACGTCTGTCTGCCACCGCCTAACGACTGTAACCAAGACCACGACCTTATCATTATGCGAACGATTGTTTTGCTCTACTCCAAAGTCGTTGGAGCGTTTGGCTCAAACTCGTCTGGCGAGTCTACCAAATCGAATAAAATACCATTTCAGATTGGTCACCACGAATGATCACGCCTCTATCCTCTCAGTCTTTCTCTCTTTCTTTCTCCTTTTCTCTCTCTCTCTCTCTCT